TATTATATATACAACATATATTTCAAAACATTGCAAAAATGGCCACTTACATATTTATTTATTCAACCATTTAAACTTCAAATATGTATATTTAAAAAAATAAATAAATAAAATATATATATATATATAAAGATATATGTGCATATTTGAAATTGTAATCGTCGAAAAAATATGCACATAATTGACCGTTTTTTGCAATATTTTGAAATATATGTTGCATATATAATAACACACATTATAAATATATGAAATCCAAATTCGAACGTGAATGTCGTACATGTAATTTGCATATATTTACATTTCCATATGGGAGCAAATATAATAGTGGGGTCAGAATTGCGCTGGTTTTTCAGATGTTTTTATCGTTAGTAAAATGTTTGAATAGGCCTCACACATTCAGTCTGATTGTAACGTGTTACTGGTTTTGTAAAATGTATAAACAGTTAAGTTTGGTTTATTATAAAAACATTTATACATTTTATAGTTAAAAATGAATTTTAGAGAATATCCTAATTTCCTAACACTTTGTGGAGTCTTTTAAGCATCTTTTTACTGGAAAACAAGACAAAAATACTAATTATGAAATGATTTTTGCAGTGTTACACAGACTTATTTTAATATTTTTATGGACTTTTAGAATAAGTAGAAAATGCAATGACTGTTTGATTTTCAGACACATTTCACACACAAGTGGATCATTTCAAACTATGGAGGTTTTTTAAAGCAGAATACAAAAATGAAAAGGGTAATGGCAACTTTTTGTCCAACTCTGACTTTCTTACGATTTTGAGTTACAGGCTTGTGATTGTTTACGTCTCAAATTTAAAAAAAAACATTGAAATTGCAAAATAGAAATTCAAAAATGTTAAACAGAATTGTGACACTTCAAAATTGTGAGATTCAATGTAAAAATGCTATTCTGTGTTGTGTGATGAACTCTTTGTAAGATACAAGCGTCTAAATTGCAAAAAATGTCAGAATTGCAAAAAAGTAAAAACTGAGAAAAATCAGAATTGTGGAAACATGGGAATTGTGAAAAGCTCAGAAATGCCAAAAAAAATCAGATTTGCAAAAAACGTCTGAATTGCATAAAACGCAGAATTACAAAAACACGTGAGAACTGCAAAGAAAGTAAAAACTGTGAAAAAATGTCAGAATTGCGTAAATGCAGAACGACAAAAACATGTCAGAATTACAAAAAAGTCATAATTGTAAAAAATGTTAGAATTGCAAACATTGTCAGAATTGCGGAAAACGTTGAAATTGTGGAAAACATCAGAATTGTGAAAAGCTGAGAATTGCAAAAAAAAAAGTTAAAATTGCGAAATGAAAAGTCAGAATTGCGGACAAAAAAGTCATAATTGCGAAAAATCTGCATTTTGGAAAATGTCGGAATTGCAGAAAACGTCAAAATTGCTGGAAAAATATCAAAATGACAAAAAACGTCAAAATGTCAGATTTGCAAAATAAGTCAAAACTTCAAAAACAGTCAGAATTGCAGAAAATTTCAGAATTGCTGAAATCACCTGAATTGCAGAAAACGTTGAAATTGTGAAAAGCACAGGATTGCAAAAAAAATGACAGAATTGTGGAAAATGACTGAAAGTGAGGTACAAAGTGATGAATGTGAGACGTCTGAAATGCAAAAAAAAAGAAAAAGCAAGAAAGAATTGTACGATGCAGACTAAGAATTGTGAAAAACATCAGAATTGCAAGATAAGAAGTGAAAATTGGTGGATTTAGAGTGAGAATTGCAAGGAAAGGGAAAAAAGCTAGAATTGTGAAAAACATCGTAGTTGCAAAACGTATATAAATTGAGTCAAAATTGCAAAAGTCAAAATTGCAAAAAAAAATAAAATAAAATTGGGAGTGAGGTAAAAGGTGAAGATATCAGAACTGTAAAAAGTAAAAACTGCAAGATACAAACTGAATCATAAAAATATCAGAATTGTAAAAAAAAACATCAGAATTGAAGGATATAAACCGTTACAAACAGTCAGAATTGCAAAAAAAAAGCAAATATAAAACAATGTGAGATAAAATGTTAACACTGAAAGACCTAATTACGCAATAAAAAGCTGAAGTTACGAGAGAACAAAGTAAAAACTGCAAGATACAATCTCAGAAATGAGGAAAAAACCTTCAGAATGGTAAAAAAAACATTGCAATTGCAATATATAAATTTAAAGTTACAAAAAGTCAGAATTGTGATTAAAAAAAGACAAACTAAAAATTGCAAAAAAATAAAACAAAGGCTGAAAGTCATAATTACGCAATAAAAAGTTTGTTATACGAGAGAAATAAAAGTAAAAAATGCAAGATACAAACTCAGAATTAAGGGACTGTGAAATATAAATAAATTGTGAGTTGCAAAAAGTCGAAAGGAGTCGAGAGTTGCGAGAAAAAAAAACTAAAAGGTGCAAAAATAAAACAAAGGGAGGTATAAAGTGAAGACTAAACATCAGAATTGCGCAATTAAAAACATTGGAATTTCAAGATATAAACAGATTGTGAGTTGAAAAAAAAGATTGAATGTCAGAATTGTGCAATAAAAAGTTAAAATTGTGAGAGAAAAAAAGTCAAAACTGCAAGATACAACGGCAGAATTGTGGAAAAATATCAGACTTTCATGATATAAATTGTTAAAAAAAAGTCAGAATTTAGCAAATAAAACTCAAATGTGCGAAAAGAAAACAAAATACAGTATAAAGTGAATGTAGTAAACAGTTAAAGTTGCGAGAAATGAAAAGTCAACTTCAAATTGTTTGAATTAATCAAGAATCGAGCTATAAAGTCAGAATTGCGAGAAAAAGTTGCAATTAGCCTTTTGCATTTAAAAAATATTTAAATAAGCTTTCATATAAAAGTCATAGTCATTCGCACACAAATAACTGCAGTGACGAAAGAAAAGCTGAAAAGTCGAGTCGAGTGAATATGAGAATGTTTATTTGTGGCTATTCGAGTCGCAGTGTGGACGTGAAAAGAAAACCTGTCGT